AGGGAGGGAGGAAGGGAGGGAAGAAGGAAGGAAGAAAAAGAAAAAAAACAGAAACAGAGAGAGAACCATGCCAACTAGCAGGCATTTCTGATTCATAAGTTTAGTAATTAGCAATATCCCTAAAGAAAGCAGTTTGATTTTTTTAAAAGTTCGTATCCATAAGTTGTTTTGTTTTTGTTGTTTTGTATTTGTTTTTTGTTCTTTGGGACACTGACTGGCCTGGAACTAACTATACAGACCAAACTGGCCTGGAACTTGTGACCAATCCTCTTGCCTCTCTCTCCCAGCTCATGAACCACATCCCCTCCCTTTAAATTGTATTTAAACAACAACAACAATTAACTCACCCTTAAGAGATTGGTTTGAGAAGCAGAGGCCCAGCCAGTCAGTCTGAAACACTTAGAGAAGCCCTAGCATCCTCTGCTCCCTAGGCTTACTGAATCAACCAGCCCTTCTGATTGCACCATTGCATAAGCAGTTTTAAATCAACCAACTGTTCAATTACATTACACTCTAAACAAAAGAGGAAAAAGCCAAGCAGGACCTATGGGATAGAGAAAAGTTGAGCATGCTCTGTAGATGAAATATATAAGTGATTCAATCTTTACTGAGTAGTTCTACAGACTAGATCTGGCTCAGAAGAATTCATGTTCATCATGGTCAACACACACTTTATTCCTGCAAGGGAGATGGGGAAACTGAGGGTTAGCTTGCCCAATGTTAAACAGCTAACACAGTCAAGTTACCAACATTTTTACCAAGACAATGAGTAGGGAGGTGAACCAAGGGGTTCCAGCCCACTCACTTTCATCTGGTCTTCAATCCTTCCCCTTTTCTTTCCAACTAAGCCAGGCTCATCCAATCAACTACTTGTCCAGTCTTTTCTGTTACCAAACCACATGACATACCAGAGTCTCTCCCTGGCATTTTCTGTCCTCCATAGCATGATTCTAACATAGGCCCTCCAAAACTCCAATGCTTCTGTTCCCATGATGGCAATACACTGTCCAGGTTCACACATCATGACTCCACTGCAGACCTGCAGATCCAGAACTCTCCCACTACAAGGCAGGAGCTTTCTGGGGTCACTCAGCTACTCAGTTACAAAGCAGGGCCCTAAATATGGCTAGCCATCCCTCCCACCAAACCCACTGCAAACCTAATGACTACAAGATACCCACCACCCTTCACTGCATAATAGTGACTCCTTCTATGAAGTCCAGAGCATGACTTACTTCAATAAACCCCATGCTTAAAGCTAAGGTTCTGTGCTTACCAGAAATGGTAAAGCTCTGAGTACACAGAGACACAAATGGTCCTCCAACTGGGCACACTCAGAAGAATACACACCTGGTTCTCAATATCTAGCACAGCATATACTCAAACTGGGTCTTGATTATGGTAGGTAAATGAGGACAAATAGCCATTATAACCCATCACCATTCATAACTACAAAAATGTTATTACACTAGTGTGAAAATATAGATTACAGCTGGGCAGTGGTGGCTCACACCTTTAATCTCAGCAGCACTCAGGAGGCAGAATCAGGTAGATAGGTCTCTATGAGTTCAAGGCTACCCTGGTTTACGAGCAAGTTGCAGAACAGTCAGAGCTGTTACACAGAGAAACCCTGCCTTGAAAAACTGATGATAGATAGATAGATAGATAGATAGATAGATAGATAGATAGATAGAGATATAGATAGATAGATAGATAGATAGATAGAGATAGATATAGATAGATAGATAGATAGATAGATAGATAGATAGATAGATGGATAGACTGATGGACAGACAGGTGGACAGATAGAGATAGAGACAAAGAGATTGCACATGACTAAGGGTAAGTGGTCTAACACTGGCTTCTTAAGGACATTATTTGTGCTAAAACATGGCATTTTCCTGGCCAGAAATTGATTTGTTCAACCTACAGAGAAAACAGCTCAAATAATGCAAACAGAATGCCAGAAAATTTCCCCCACCATACTACAAAGTGCTTAGTGTACAGAAAATTTGCCTTTTCTTTTCAGCTTTTCCTCCTTTTTTTCTTCTTCTTCTTCATGGATTTTCATACATTGAACATGCTCTGCCTGCCCACATTTCCCCCAGCAGGTAGGGAGTTCATCACGTCTCCTGTCACCTAGCAACCTAAGCAAGATTTTACCACTACCTGGCCACCCAGTTCTTCATACAGAATCTACTCTGTCTTATTAAGCAGAAGAAATAAGAGAACAGAAGTTACAACACTAACAGTGTTGATGTGTTATGCTCCCTAGTGACCTTATGGGAGAGGTGTGAAAGGCTAAAGATTAACCTCAGTCATTACCTAACCAACCAAGAGGAAAAACAACAAATAGATGAAGCAGCTTTTCAGTTAATCTGTTTATTTTATGTGTATGGATATTTTGTCTGCATGTACCACATTTATGTAATGCTTGTTGAAACGAGAAGGGCATTAGATTCCCTGGGACTGGAGTTACACATGGTTGTGAGCCACCTTGATGAGGGTGCTGAGAATCCAACCCAGGTCCTCTGAAAGAGCAGTCAAGTGCACTTAGCTGCTGAGCCAGCCCTTTCTTTGTTGATTTGGTTTTTTGTTTGTTTGGGCTTTTTTTTTTTTTGAGGCAGGGTCTCACTATGTAGCCTAGCCTTGGGTGGCTTAGAGCTCGCTCTATAGATGAGGCTGGCCTTGACTTCACAGAGATAGACCTGCCTCAGCCTTCAAGTTCTGAAATAAAGATATGTGTCACCAAACCAACCTTTTTGTATACTTATGAGTCAACTGTGATCTAATGGTTGAGCTGCAAAATCTATTGGGGGTGAGGGGGTGGTATATAGCCCTGGCTGGCCTGGAACTCTAAGTTCAGTAAGACTATATCTCAAAAACTAAAGTGAGGGAGACTGAGAAAGACACCCAACAATGAACAATGGCCTCTGATCTCTAAACACTCACATACACACACACCCCACCTCCTAAACTGAGCTTTTTGGAAACCAGTAAATCATCCTTGGCTCTCTTATCTTTAGCAATCCCCCCCCCTTCCTTTCTTATTCACACCTGGTCATCACAATTACTAGTTACTCACAGCTCCTGCTCTTTCTGTGGCCTCTTCCCCACCCCGATCCCTCACTATGGAGCAGCCACTGCTGACAGTGAAGAACAGGCCACATCTGTCAACAAGGGTGCTCAACTCAATCCAACATCCCAGAGACATCTTTTTCCCACAGCACAGACAAGCCACAGCGCAATTGCCTTAACCTGAGGGATCACAGGAATCTTGTTTTAGAGTTTTCACAGTCCATCTACAAACAAGCGGTCCCTTAAATGCCTAGCACACACAACACAATAAGTGTTTAATTTGACCTGTGATAGTAAATGCTTAATTTCTATGAAAAATTTAATAATTCAGCCAGTCAAACAGTTACCTGTGTATTCCCCCAACAGGCAACTTGACCGTTGCCTGGGGTGTACAAGATGAAACATGGCTAGTTTTACAAACAAAATCGGCAAAGCAGAGGGCAACAGCACCGTGCTTTCCGCTGTGGAACTAGACATACTTCTATGCACTGTATGTTACTGCCATTTTTCTTTGCTCCCCCCCACACACCCCTCCCCACAGCTAACAAGAGTACAAAGACAACCTGGTTATTCCCTTACAACATTAAACCATCAACTAACTGTCAATCAGAAATGATGCTTAAAACACTTAAGTGTGAAGTTACAGAGGATTTTCCCTCTTGTCAGCTTTACAAGATAAACAGGTGCCCAATTTCCACAAACGTTGTTTGATTTTCAATGAATTCGACCAACTGGAAGAGCACTTACAGCTGTTGAACTCAGCATCTCCTAGCCCTGTATCAGATTCCTAACCATCCCCCAAAGTTTCCTTAAAGAGGCAATTTTGTTATTTTTTTTTCAACACAGAATAAAGGCAAAATAAAATAAAGGTGTAACCATTTTGCCCTTTCTTTATTTTAGAGAAAAATGGAGGGTGGCCCATGAGCATTCGGCGACTTAAGCAGACAAAGCCACCTTCCCCCTCTTGCTTGTTCCGAAGTCACAGAAGGCTGGCTGCTCCACTACCAAACAGACAACAGACGGGAAATACCAAAGGGAACACATTCCACTCTGGTACAAAGGAAATATCCTCAGGTGCTAGGGCGAAACTTCAGCGTGGGCTGTTGTCAAACAGAGGGTAAAACAATCTAACAAAACACCCTTCCACTTCTGCCCCATTATGGAGGAATGCGGTTTAGGGAGACAATGTTACTACTCCAGCAGGAAAACAGAGAAACCACGCTCCTCCGACCCCAGGCCCTGTGCAGCCCCGGCTCAGCAACCGAGCACATCCCGCGAGGTAAGGTTGGAGGTTCGGAGGGAGCTCTGACTCCACAAGCGAGTCCAGGCTGAGATGTTTCAAGGAGCCAAACACCGCAGCTACTCCATCGCCCCCACTGGAGTCCACGAGCCGGGCCGACCCAACCAGGGCTGCCTGCGCAACCCTGAGATCCCACAAGAACACAGAAGGTCCCCGGCCCCGCTGCGGCTCCCGCGTGCACCGGATCACCCAACTCTTTTTCACACCCCCAAAGTTCCGTGGCCAACCCTCCGCGGCAGGCCTGCTTGGGGAGAGGCCTGGAGCTGGATTGCCAGGGCCCGCGGTCGGCTGGGCAGAGGCGCCCCGCCAGGCTACGCCGCGCCTCCCGCGTGCCGCACTCTGCCTCGCCCGGTGCTGGCTCTGGGCGCCGAGCCGCCCACTCCGAAGCCCAGAGGACACAGGTAGTGTCCAGGGACTGTGCGGGTAGCGATCGCGGCCCAGCCTGAGCGCGCCGAGAACTTTGCGGCCGCAGGTCCGGGCCGGGGGGCGCCTATGAGGCCGCCAGACTGCCGCACTTTCCCTTTCCCCGCCTCCCGGTCTCCCTCCTCCGTCTCCAGGAAGCGCCATATTGATCCCCGCGCCTTCCCCGTCCGCTCCCCACCGCGCGCCCCGGGCCACTTACCTTGGCCACGGCCTTCCGGTAGCGGGTCACCGCCTGCTGGATGAGGTTGAAAACTTTCATGCGGCCGTCTCCACACGGCACGACCACCCGGGTCCTCCCGAAGCACACGGTCACTTTCATGCCGCCGTCCCTCGCTGGCCGTGGCCGGAGCGGCGCTGGGCCCGGCGACTGTACGCAGGGCGCGGTGGGGCCGCTGCGCCGGCGCGCCGGCGGCTAGGGGCGCGAGCAGACGGCGGCTCGGGGTCGCCCGGTTACCATGTCCAGCCCGGCCGCCTTCGCCTGGTCTCGCCTGTCCCCCGCCTGGGCGCCTGCAGCCTCCGGCCACCTGTTCGGAGTCTTGGCGTCTTGGCGCGCTCGGCGACGGCCAGGGGCCGTGTAGCGCTCGCGCTCAGTCGGGACTCCGAGGAAGGGACCGCGAGGCAGGGAGGAGGAGCAGCGGCGGGCCGGGCGCACAGCACCGCGCGCAGGCGGCAGGAGGAGGCGCAGGGCGGGGCGCCCGGGAGGCCTCGGCCGCTGCCCGGCAGCTTGGGTCACCGCACGGCGATGCGCATCGCAGCCCGCGGCGCTGTGCCTGGGCCGGCTCTGGGCAGGGAGCGTCCTCCTCCGGCCCACTTGCTGTAGAGCTGAGGCGAGGCCCACTCAGGGACGCCCCACCCACGCCCCCAAGGGCTCCACCGAGGTCCCCTCCCTTTCTTTGTGACTTTTAATCCCCTTCCTGGGAGAAAGCAGTTTAGGCTCGGGGACGCCTCTAGAGCCCAGCAGCCACCGAGTCGCCCCGGGGAGGATAGGGACTCGACTGCTGACGAAGCTCCGGGCTAGGTCTCTTTCTGCCCGCAGCAAGGCAGGCTTTCTGTCCTAAGAGCCTGGCTCCGGTGCAAGGCCGGGCGGCGCTGCTCTGTAGCAGAGATTAATTGGCTGCTCCCGAGAGAGTTGGAGACGCTTGGACGCCCTAGTACTTCCTCTTGAGGCCACTATTTGCCTTAAAGTTTCTTGGTGACCCACTTGTTTAAATAAGTAGGACTTAAAACCGCAGTTCAAATATATTTGTTTCTTGACAATTCTTCAGTCTTAGCAACTTAACACAGCCCTCTGAAAAATACAGTCCGGACACTCAGACAGGGAAACTGTTCTAGGATATTCTCTCTCTAGGCTGGCTCATAACTCAGGCACTAACACACCCCCAACTCCATAGGGAGTGGGTGACACGCAAACTCTAAAGTGTTTAGTAACTACGTGGAGCAAATCTAGAGAGTGGCTGAAGCTGGTTTCTGTCATATAAGATGCGGTTCCTAAATAAATGTGTAGCCATTGTTTTCAAAGAATGGCAAACTTTGAGAGTCGCTGTTGGCCTGCGTTTGTCCCACACTATACAGAAAGTTCATTTTGGCAATTAATTTGCAGATTTCTGAGCCCATTAAAGAGCTTGAGAGCCCCAGATGAACTTGAGCACTTAAAGTGGGCTCTGGGGATCGTCCACCCATCCCTCCTCCCTTTTTAAAATAATAAACAAAACAAAGAAGTTCCTTGACTTTTCGGAATCCTGCACATTCTCCTTGGCTTTGAGGCTTTAGGTCTGACTGCTCTCAAGCCACGCGATGATCCCGGTCCCAGCAAGTGATGCCATCATGCATCCTCCCCTCCAATGTTTGTCAAGAAGACTTCCTCCTAAGCCCACAAGAAAATGCTTAAAGGAGCACAACCATGGGAAAGACTCATATTACTTCTATGCGGTTGCATCGTTGAACTTGTCTATCAATGACTGTACTGGTCATGCTATGCCAGTAACTCCTGCTGCCATTTCCTTGCTGAAGACATTATCAGTACTTGGATCGATGGGCCATAAGATGGCTCAACCTGCTAGGGCACCTGCCACCAATACTACCTAAATTCCAACCTTAGACCTACATAGTGGAAAGGGAGAACAGCCCCTAAAAGTTGTCCTCCAACCTTCACACACACACACACACACACACACTAATAGTAACAATAATAATAATTGGTCCCACAGCAATTATGATTAGTTAGAAATGATGATTCTGTTTTTACACATGGGAGGAGTATAAAGTTGAGAGTGGGTTTGTCATAAAAGTCAAAATTGCACTGACCTAGGTTCAGATCTAAGTTTAAGCACTAATGCCTTCGACTGTACTTTTTTTTAGCTAAGGAATGAAATTGTGAGGATCAAATAAAATTTCATATTAAAAATCTTGCCAGACGGTGTATCCCAGCACTCAGGAGGCAGAGGTAGACAGATCTCTGTGAGTTTGAGACTAGCCTGGTCTACAAGAGCTAATTCCAGGACAGGCTCCAAAGCCACAGAGAAACCCTGTCTCAACCCCCCCCAAAAGTCTTAATAACTGCTACTGAGTGGCACACGTAACAGCAGCAGAGTCTAGTGGTCATGATGTAAAGGGCAGCAGCAGAGTCTAGTGGTCATGATGTAAAGGGCAGCAGCAGAGTCTAGTGGTCATGATGTAAAGGGCAGCAGCAGAGTCTAGTGGTCATGATGTAAAGGGCAGCAGCAGAGTCTAGTGGTCATGATGTAAAGGGCAGCAGCAGAGTCTAGTGGTCATGATGTAAAGGGCAGCAGCAGAGTCTAGTGGTCATGATGTAAAGGGCAGTAGCAGCTGGGATAGCAAATGAGTGGGGAGGGGTGAGCAAGGAAAGCTCAAAGTTAGAGAAACAGCTGGACAAGGGCTGGGGATGTAGCTAGTAGAATGCTTCTCTAGTATGTCCAAAACCCTGTGTTTGATCCCTAGCACTCCATAAAAACTGGCTATGATAAGCCACACCTGTAATCCCACGCAGCACATAGCCAGTAATTTGCAAATGCATAACAAGTTCAAAAACAGCCTGGGCTACATGAAACCCTGTATTGTAAAAAATAAATAAAATTAAAAAGAAGTGTAAGACTTTATCTGGCTAGTTAAGAAGAGGTGTGATTATCATTAATTGTATGCATCATGTTTGAAAATTTCCCAAGCTTTGATTAGCAACTAAACAGATGTCAATCAAACGTTGTCTCTCTTGAAAGCATGCCTCTCTCCCTAGTACAGCTATAAATACTGTGCTCACACCTTCAACTTGAAGTTTTGAGATGTAGTATCATCTTAAAATGTAATTACTGGGATATTTATCATGTTCTAACCTTTCCATAACTCACCTGTGTAGTTCTATAACCTCCTCAGAGCTTTGCTGTAGCAGCCTAAGTACCTACAGATGAAATTGAGCTCTAATGAATTAGGTACAGCCTTAGATCATGAGCCTGCTTTCCATTCAGATCCTGGCTCAGCCTTATTGAGTGCTTGTACTGAATAATTTTTTTAAAGATATAGTTTCCCATGCTCCAGACTGGCCTCTAACTTGCTATGTACTTGAGGGTGACCTTGAACTTCTGAATCCTGTTCCTCTACCTCCAGAGTTCTGAATTACAAATTTGTGCCACCACCCTTGGTTTATGAAATGCTAGCGGTAGAATTTAGGGCTTCATGCATTCTAACTAAGCACATTATCAACTCAGCTATATTGTTAGGTGTGTGTGTGTGTGTGTGTAAGCAATGAATTTCTCTATATTAAAAAACTAATGAAAATTAATGCTTTGTAATTTTAGATGCCAAACCTTTTTCTGTCTTTAAAAAAATTCATAAAATTCTATGACAAATAATTTATTTTCACCACTATATTCCTCAAATAACATCTAACCATAAAGATGGATCATAGCCAAGCCACCTTCATGTCAATAAAATATTCAACTTAGCAAATAGCTTCTAGTCTGAGGTAAGCATTAAAGCAAACCAGTCTCTTTGAGAAGCAAAATTATCAACATCAGGGGTCAAATGTTGTGTAAATACCTTGAAATGGGTTTACTTTCTTAAATTCTAGAGTTTCTAGTTTAAAAAAAAAAGCATAGCCTTTGTCTGTATTTCTGCTTCACAGTTAATTGGTTATAAATACCCCAGAGGGTTCTGAGAATTAATGAGGGTTTATCTGGGCTTTGCGCCTATGTGAAGGTGGGCATATGTGACCACACAGAACATAACTTCAGTTCTATCCAGCTACACTCACACACTCCATATGTGTAGGAAAATCACTGAAGCAAGCAGCTCACCCTTAGAAAGTTAGTAATTGAAAATAAGGGAGATGGAGGATGGGAAGATGGCTCAGTACAATTCCCAGAAATTAGAGGGAGCCAAGTTTTGTGAGTACTTGTAATCCCAGTACCTAATCTCGGTGATGGGGAGGAGGGGACAGGTGGATCCCTGGAGCTCACTGACCTTATTCCAGAGTGCTTGTCTCAAAAGAAAAAGAAAAAATATATGGCTGGTGCCTGAGGAATGACAGCCAGGGCTTATCTGGCCTCCACATACACATGCACACACTCACATGTATGCATACATATGTGACACGCATAAGAATAAAGACTGAGTATGAAAGATTTTTTAATGCAGTCATCCTGTGAAGATTATTATCTCCAAGGCATTTCACATACATGCAGTGCTAACTTTTTGATTACACATCCAAAAAAAAAAAAAAAGAAAGAAAGAAAGAGAGAGAGAAAAGAAAAAGAAAAATGCTTACAGTGTCATATGCCTGGCCTCCCATGAATTGGGGCTGCCAGGTCTATCACACTCATTGAGTAACAGCAACAAGTTTTATATCAAGCACTAGAATACACCTTTATAAGGTTCTTCTTCAAGATGCACCCAGTCTGGTAAAGATTTCAGAAATGAATGAACAGCAACTGAAATATGGCTACCTGCTACATAGTAGCAACCATGGCTACCTGCTACATAGTAGCAACCATGGTAATACCAAAGAAACTACTCACTCCCTCTAACAGAGAAGGAAACAGGCCTTCTAATTTCATCCAAGACATATATATTGTAACCATATTTACATATTAAGAGTAACAAATGGCCACAAATGAAATTAATTATAACAATGTAGTTTATTTAACCAAAGATACTACATATTGTCATTTCAATGTATAGAAATATCAATGAGATGGGGTCTTGTCTTGTATCCTAAAGTATACCCAGGCTTGCCTCAAACTTGCAATCCTCCTCATTCGGCCTCTAAGGTGCTGCAGTTCACATGCACAATTTAATAAGTCTTTGTATTCATAGTCCTTGGCTAGATCATTTTGATCCTGTGTGTGACTGATATTCCTGGCACAGCTCAATTTGGATCAGCCACATTTCCAGAGCTCAATAGCTGTCTCTGATCAGTGGGTGCCATATTCAACAGCATAGCCCTGGAGTTCAGGTCCACTAGCAGCCAAGCCCACAATGCCATGTCGAAAAAGAGACTCACAAATGGATTGAACCCTTTGAGGCAGAAGCCAGTTTTCACAAGGTAGACTCTGTTCATGCTTTGTAACTATATGAGGAGTGTGTGAGTGACTGAATATGGAAGAGTGGGTGACAGATGACATCCTGACATTCAAATTGCATAGCAGTGCAGAATACAATAGGCAAGGATGGGGCTGGGCCTGGAGCTCAACTGCCACAGTGCTTGTCTGACATGTACAAAGCCCTGCCTAGATTTGATCCACAGTTCTGCATAAGACAGGCATAATGACACGTACTTATAATCCCAGAACTCAAGAGCAGACAAGGGGAACCGAAGT